CCAAACATGTGACACAAGCCTCTCTACTTATTTCTTATTAACATTTCTGAGCTCCATTATTCTCTTGTTTTTTCCTTCCCTTTCCTTTTTCGGTACATATTTCACCGTGCCCCTGTTGTTTTCACTCCCCCCACTACCTCCATCCTTCCTTTCATTTCCTCACAATTACAGTTACAATTTTCAATATTTATCATTCTAGTGTGCCGGTACGACGCAACAGTTTACTACTGGCAATGAATCTTGGCAGTGCACATAACATACCCCATTATAAAACTTTGGAAGATGTCATCCGAGGCATCAAAAAGGTTGGTTTTCTCTGCTGCACTCAAATCAGAAAAGTTCAATGCAAAATATGCAAGGCTTAGATGGTTCTCTTTCCAGGCCGGCTTGGAATACTCAAATTTGATTTTCGGCATTGATTATACCAAATCGAATAAATATCAAGGTGAAAGAACATTCGATGGAAGAAATCTACATTCCATCAGCTCTAAAGAACTAAATCCCTATCAACAGGTTTTTCATTTTACCTGATTTTCACTAGAAAAAGTATTAGTTTTTGCAGTTTTTTCCAGCACGACTACGGTAAGCATTGGTCAAAAACTGGAAAAGTTGCTATCTGCATAGACGAAGAGCCAGAATAATAAAATAAAACTTCTCCTTGTTTCTAGGAAGAGTACTACTTTTTGTATTCTGTCTTCCTCTGGAAAATTACTGACATATTAGAGTCCGTTGGATTTGTGCCAGAATCCGAGTTTTTATTCCCTTATTTAAGCTTAAAAACAGTATCAATGTTTCTGATAATATTGTACTTTTCTAATAAATGAACGAAAACAATATATCTTACAAAATGAAAAAAGTGTTTCCAGCAAATTTTTCGGAAAATGCTTTTCTAAAAAATCCTTGCTAAATCGCTAGTAAGTCTATGCATTGCAAAATTACAAAAGAATAAGCAATTTAAACGGACTTTTACTGATAGAAGTACCTTCAGGTACTTCTTTTTTAAGCGTTACTGGCAAAGTTCCACACTTTGCATGGAGTAGTTTTGCCCTCGTACATAAGAATCCATAATTTTTGATCAGTTATTCTGCAGGTCATTGAAATTGTCGGAAAGACGTTATCGTCATTTGATGCAGATGGCGTTATACCAGCATATGGATTCGGTGATGAAGAGTCAACGGATCAGCGTGTTTTCAATTTGTACGACAAAAATGATCTGCTTGCTGAGTGTAACGGATTTGAAGGTATTTTGTGAATTACCTTGCTGAAAATGTGCGGAGCAACTAAACTGTAGGAAAGCGCATAAGAAGTCCTAAATTTTTGGGTATCAGGAATAACAAGACCGCTCGGACAATTAGTGTAAAATCTCGTGTTAGTGATATTAGTGGTGGAAAGCTTACACAAGCTGGACGCAGCTTTGCCAGGTCCTTCGATTCTGGGCAGTATATCTCCAGCAATACCCGCTCTCGGTTCAAGTTTGTGTGCCTCCTTTTCGAAGGTCAACGAGAGGTGTTTTGCTTTCTTTCGGGTGCCAATACTTGAAATATTTTTGTTAAAACCTGCTCTTTGAATTGCTCAGTAACAATATTTCAGAAGTGCTGAAGATTTACAATGAGAAAACACCATATATCGGGATGTCCGGGCCCACGAATTTCGTACCTTTAATTGAGCAGGTAACCAGCTCATTTGTTCTCCCTACTGTTTTTTATTTTTTGCTTTTTACTATTAGCAAGTTATAGCTTCATGCCAGTTGAAAATTTTAGCTGACGACTTTCCCAGTCGCGTTGGTCTATACTGCATCGTCTCGTGGTCACTCTGCTGGTAATCCTGACGTTAGTTTCGGCTCCCAAAGGCATTACCATCTCACCTGTTCTCTCAACTGGAGGGCTTAGCAAGGCTTTAGTTGCTTCATCATATGATTGGTGTGGATTTAGCATCACCACCTGGCTTCGGATGTTGCCGCTCCTTGGCTGCAGTGAGGCATGTCAGCTTTAAACGTTGTAGATCTTTTATCTAGTGTGTTAGGCGAACAACAAAATAGTCTTTTTCCAAAATTTCATATCCGTTGGCGTGTTTGCTGCTCTGCTTTAACCGATTGTGTTTCTTTATTTTAACGATCTTAAGCTCAAAAAGTAGAGCTGCTTCTTTTTACGGTACTTATCAAACTTACTGCTTACCTTACTAGTACCGACAAGTAAGCAGAAATTTTGCAAAATGCGCTTAAACAGACTCTACTTTTTAAATATGTGCAGGCAGTGGCAATTGTGCGCGAGAAGCAATCGTATCACATATTGGTTATAGTTGCCGATGGTCAGGTAACGAACGAGAAAATTAACCAGAAAGCAATTGCTGCCGCATCACACTATCCATTATCAATTATCATGTTTGTTTTTTGCCTTCATTCACTTTCAGTTTGTCTTTCAGTCTTTATTTTTATAACGGGCACTTAATTCACTGAAATCTTTTGGGCATTCATCTGTTTTCAGGCCTCACCGTCTTTGTGATTCCCCTTCTTTATTGGTTTCAGTTTCTGTGAATATCTTTTCATCCTTCATAGCTCAGTAATATAGCGCGAGTGTGAAGCAACGTTTCACACTCGAAGAAATTCTTTATCCAGCTAGTTTACACACAGCTCTGCTCAGGCTGAACCCCCGGAAATCTCACAT